ACAGAAATTGAGCAGGCACATGACTGGTCAGCTGTAGAGTACCAGGCGAGCTGGGCAAAGAGATTGACGGGAAATCAGAGGCCAAACTCAACCCTCCCTTACACAGTCACGCGCAGAAAAGGACTGTGACCTTGCCCTCCTCGCTCCTCGCCTCTTTGCAGCTGCGCACTGGGGCCCAGGGCACAGCAAAAGCCCGCCTAAATCCCTTACAGGTCGTCTAGAACTGCAGCTGTCTGCCTCTTACCTTCTCCCCTTGGGGGCCAATCAAGGGCGTTCCCAAGGAGGAAAGACGACGACGAGGAGGAGGGGCTAAGGCTACAGCCTCCCTCTGCAGCGGACAGCAAATGCAAAGCAGTTAAGGATCCAAAGAAGGGTCTGCCTTTGCCATCGTCTTTCTGGGAGAAGGATCGTGAAGGAACGCCGTTCCCTGGGACCGGGCACATTCCAGCTGTCTGCCTTACGTTATCTATTAAAACTTACAATCCTGACTCACATTCTTCCAGTCTCAGAAGAACCTACAGTGAAAACAAGTCACTCTCATCGCACGGGGCGTGCAGGTATACACTGTAGTGCGTGCATCTAAGTGATACAGCAGCACATCAAAGGGTCTCTCTCTCTTACACACCCACACCCCACTTTTGACAGATTGCTATCTTTGGGCATCTGCCCAACCCGCGATTAATTCAAGTGGGAGCATTCTGATCTTGGGGAAATTGCCCCACTTCCAAACACATTTACGTGGATGGCCATTTCCGCCCCCGCAATGTTACTTGTTCCCAAATAAGTATGTTAAGAGCCGATGTCTTAAGGGAAACCCTGATACTTTTGCGCTGCTTCCCACAGTTATGCCCCTCACTGGACGACGGCGGCGTCTCGTGGGGGCTTGTGATACATCAGCCGCCGCAGAAGCCACTTGTACACCACCCCAAACGCAATGCTTCCTAATGCAGTCAGTTCACACGTTAAGCTGCCAGACATCCGGCGCTGAGGAAGCAAGCGGCGTGTATGCAAACTGCCCTCCAGAAGACTAGCGAGCCGCCTCTTCGCTCCAACAGGACTGCTAAGTCGACTTTTGCAGAGAAATGGTCCGGGGGGGGCGCACAGCCTCATTAGGCATAAGTACAACACCCCCCCCCCCCAGGAGACGTGCCAGAAGAGCTTTCAAACTTGCCCTGCATAGAGATCGCACGCTCCGGGCTGGAAGCCTCGACCCCCTAACCCCAGATACGTGGGGGGCAGCGGCCAAGGAGCGGGAGGAATCTCTGCACGGTCGAGGAGTGAGTACAGCACCTCTCCTTGTTGTGACTCCAGAGATGCCCCGCCATTCCCTCCGCCAGGTTTCGGAGTCCAAACCACGTCGGATCAAATCCGTTCCCCTGTGGGAAGCCCTTCTCTCTCGCGCCCCTCCCTCCCTCCCTTATTTACGAGTCTGGCAGGCTCTCTCCGAAACGTTCAGTCTGCCTCTGCTGCTGCTGCTGCTCTGCCAGCTCCAGCTCTTCGCCTCCTGCCAGCTCTTATTGAATATAATTTGTTTGATCGATCGACTTGCGGGCGGGTGGGGAGGAGAGGGGAGGGGAGCGGAGAGTGTCAGGCTTCAAAATCTGCATATCGCCCTTCGAGATCCCGCTGCTGACAGAACAAGGTCTGCCAGTGGCGTGGAGCCGCTACCAGCATGTCAATGGGGCGGCGGTGAGGTAATCAGATTCCCAGTCCGGGCGAGAGGGAAGGAGGAGGAGGAGGAGGAGGAGACCGGCTAACGAAGTTAGACGGTCCCCGAACTGGCCAGCGGACCAAGGAGTCTGGGTTCCCCACTTTGGGAAGCTTGACCGATTCACACGCGCCCCACGCAGGCAGCTGGCCGCCTGCAAAGCCGCGCACGGAGTTTTCCCTCTCCGGCTGCGGACTCGGGCGTGCACGCCGCCTGGAAAGCCTGGCTGGGCTCGGCTTTACATTCCGCGACCGAAAGGCCAGCGACGTCGCCCCAGGCGAGGGAGGAGGAGGAGAGGCGGAGGAGGAAGCAGGCGACGGGACCTCTTGGTCCCGGGAACCGAGCCGAAGGCGCTTCTCGTCGCCCACGAGGATCGGGAAAACGATCTCTCCTCCCAGAAGCATCCAAGCCATTTCCCACCCACGGGGCTTCAGGAGTGGCAGGCGTCGAGCCGACCTACAAGTTACACTATCTGACTGAAGGCACCTTAGGAGCAGGGATAGGGAGGCTCCCCATGTAGTGCCGTGGTGGCGGCGGCGAGCGCTTTGCACATGCCCCAAAGCAAGAACCTGTCCTTATGGCTCCCCACATTCCACAGGCTTGTGACACTGAAAAGAAGTTCCCTGTCGACCTCAGCCTCACATTTAGTCCTGTCCTACCCGCCTTTGACTGAAATTCATAGTTCAGAGGAAGGTGATGCTCAGTCTACCCGCTTGACTGGAAACAGGAGGGTGTGTGTGTTGGGGTCTTGTGTGGAATGTGAAACACAAGAGATCTGCCGGTGGGTAGACTCAGGCTTCAGTGGAGCCAGCGGCTGAAGTTTCCTTTCCTGAACGCCGCTTTACATACACTTCTATCCCACTTCAATGTTAATACCAGGTCCTTAGCATTTCTGCTTTCCTAAACACGGACCTTCCTGGGAAGCAAATGCCGTCGAGATCTAGCACAGCCAAGGGTACGACTGATGTCAGCATTTAATACCCTCTTCTTATAGTATAGAGCTTTATTTGAAAGTAAGGGTTGTTGACTTCAGTTAATCTCCTTTTCCATTAGGTATATTTAGGATTAAGGTGTGAACTTCTAAAACAACAGTTCAAATAGTTCACAACGCTACCCGCATCCTACTTGTTCCAAGATTCCCACAGAAATCTAGGAACAGGATGTGGAACTAGACAGACCAATTCCTCAGATTCTTATGTCCTGAAATCACGGGCACATTTTCTTACTTCCGAGTAAACACGTAAAAGATCAGGTGGCACACAGTAAGTCTCAGACTCCAATGGCAGCGGGAAAATGGCCCCTCTACCACTTCAGTTTTTAATTTAACCTCCTAGAAATTGCGCTGGGTGTAGCTACTTTGGCTGCAGCCCTACAAATATATTTCCACCTGGCCAGCTTGACCAACTCCTTCCGTACCAACACCACCCGGTCGCAGCTTCTCTCCAACCTGAACTAATGTAATTCAACTAATGTATGCAACACTTCCTAATGTAATTCAACCCTCGCGTTCCTTGAATCTGATGGGACCTGGATCCACGCTTTGAGAAAACCTCCGCTTTATAGGCCTGTTCCAAACGAACATACACACCATTGTTTGCGCGCCAGCCCGCAGGCCACACGGAAGCCGACCTCTCGCTCGTCAGAATCGCACTGTTCGAGCGCTGCGATTCCCTTTAGTATGAAGCGGTTTTCTAGGCATCAAAACATTCAGGACAATTCCCCCCCCTTCCCCCTCACCCCACTTAAAATCCGTTTTCGAGGCGACGTCGAGTTCGTCGTCCGCTGTCAAGCGTAGGGAAGGAAGCACATCCCGCAGAAATCAACGGGAGTTTAGAAAACGGGGAGGAGGGTGCCAATCTTATAATTGTTGGGTTTGTGCCGGAGTTGGAGGAGGGGGTGGGGGTGGAAATCACATACGAATGTATTTCTCTAAAAAATATTGACAAGAGTAATAGCCTCCTGGCGAAGACCTCGCGCGGCGAGGTTTTGTGCTGGAGAGATATTTTATTGCCGGGTAATTATTCCCGATTCCCCCTCCTAACGAAGGGCTGTAAGTGAAAACGCTGCCAGAATCTATTAAATGTCGCCAAGGCAGAATTGAAGTCAAACTGCTGCTGGGTTTACACGCCCCCTGTTGGAAAAGATCTTGTAATTAGGGAGAGCTCTCCCGCCGGAGGAGGCTGCATATCAGGGCCCGGAGGCAGGGTGGGGGAGGGCTCGCAGGAGAGCCGAAAAACATCCTCCTTTCTTCCTCCATGCAAATAAGGTTGCATTGAAACGACAAGCCGAGAGATCGTTATGCAATGAACAGCAGATGTTACTTTCCGCCTTGCCTGGTGGAAGGAGGGGGGGGGGCGAGAAACCTACGTGAAAAAGAGAAACCATCCCCTCCTTTTCCCTTTCTTTTTTTTTGGGGGGGGGGGGAGGGGGTTGTTGGCAAACGCTTCGCCTCTTTTCAACACCTTGATTCGCGCTCAGCGTTGACGTTAGCAGCTGTTAAAAGAGAGCCCAGGCCGCCGTTATTAATGTTCCGCGACTGTGTTTGCTATCCCATGCGAGAGCAACTCTGTCTCCACGCCAGCGCTCTTTCTTTTAGCCTCATTTTACAGATGGGAAAATCTAGGTCCAGCACCCTGGCCGTTCAGCATAGACAGCCGTTAGACTTCTTGTGCGTAATGGTGTCAAACTAGGACCTGGGAGGGCAGGGTATGCATCCCCACTCAGCCAAGAAGCTCACTGGGTGACCTTGGGCCAGTCACCATTTCTTAGCCTAACCTACCTCACAGAGTTGTGAGGACGAAATGCAGAGAACCTTGAGCTCAGGGGAAGAAAAGGTGGCATACAAATGTAACTAACGAATCAATAAATGTAAAAAACAGGCTGACGGAAATATTTAATTAGACTACAGTTGGTAAAGGAATGTGCAAGTTTTCCAGTTGCACAGAGTTCTTCATCAGAAAAAAATGGCTTAGTTTGCAAGTAAGGCTTAGTAAGTAAACCTCTGTAGCAGTGCAATTTTAAACATGCCTACTCAGAAGTAAGTTATGGAATTCAGCAGGGCTTACACCCATGTAAGCAAGGTTAGGCTTTGCAGCCTTAGTCCAGTACTTAGAAAAAGCAGGCTGTAAGTCTGAGCTATTCAGTTTACGTACATCTCTACAGTGGTACCTCGGGTTACAGACACTTCAGGTTACAGACGCTTCAGGTTACAGACTCCGCTAACCCAGAAATAGTACCTCGGGTTAAGAACTTTGCTTCAGGATGAGAACAGAAATCGCGCAGCAGCAGCAGCGGGAGGCCCCATTAGCTAAAGTGGTCTTCAGGTTAAGAACAGACGAATTAAGTTCTTAACCAGAGGTCCCACTGTATTCTCTTTATAATCAGTGTGTGTATGCTCAGATCCTAAAACTAATTCAGTAGGTTTTAGATTTGCCTAATGTGGTTTAAGATCAGGGCTGCCTTTCCTTTTGCACTTAACTGGAGTTTGCCATACCCCTATAGTAGCTAGCAAATATCTGTTTACATGAAGATCCCACATGCAAGATACCCCTGTCTTTGATAGGATCCCATCAAATAAGGCTTTTGAAAAGCACCATGGGCCCTCAGCCAGATTTTTATATAAGCCCTGAAACATCTCCGCAACCAGCTCCATAGGCTGAACAGATGCTTGCTCTATTATCACCGTGGTTCAGATATACCAAGCAGGTAAGGGCTAACAAGAGCAAGTTTTGTTACGGGCCAAATCTAAAGATCCCTAAGGGATAATTTGAAATTCTGGATTACTAGTTTATATGGACTCCCCATTCACTTCCCTTAGTGTTTGGCAGCAGAAAAGTGAATACTACATAGCCTTATATCTTTAAATTTAAAAAAAAGATGGGAAATGATTACATTAATACTTAATTATGAATATCTTTTACCCAAATGAGTTTGTGTGAGAGAATAGCCTTATATGGTTCTTCTTTAAAAACAAAAACACTCAAAATGTGATTTGAAAGGGTTAAAAAATAAATAGTACACGGTGAAGTGGGATAACCCAGAATTCTATATAATTATGATTCCGCCAAAAGTAACAATTACTCAAACACGAAAACAAGTACCGGTATTTGTTGTTTACTTCTTGCGGACACCTGCTAGTTAATCCTGAATGAGTCATAGTTACTGTATTTTAGGTATTTTAAATGTTCTGCTTCACCACTAAGCTTAGAGCAAGTAAAGAGCACATAAGGTTTGCTGCCCCTAAATCTACTCTTTAAGATACAGTGGTACCTCGGTTTAAGAACAGTTCTGTTTACAAATGATTCAGTTTACGAACTCCGCAAAACCGGAAGTAGTGTCCCAGTTTGTGAACTTTACCTCGGTCTAAGAATGGAATCACAACAGTGAAAGGGCACCGGTGGTGGTAGACCTCATAAGGGAAAGTGCGCCTTGGTTTAAGAACGGTTTCGGTTTAAGAACAGACTACCAGAACAGATTAAGTTCGTAAACTGAGGTACCACTGTACTTCACTGGTGGGGAAAGTGAGAGACAGTGATTGAAAGGGAAAGGCATTTGAACGTAGGATCAAGTCATTCCTATCCTTTGAATTCGTACCACCACCACCCCCAAGCCAACCACAATGCCTTTCTGGAAGGAGGTAAACAATGGTGGTACCTACTTTCTTCTAAACAAATGTTCCTGATGTTTTTCTCCAATTCCTAACAGTAATCCTTTTAAATTTTGTTTAGAAGCAATCCTACTTCCATGGAGGCCACCGTCAGTGGCATTTCCAGTTTCCTTACCAGAATTTTAATCAAATCGATGAGCTCCTGGAAAGCAAACTATAAGCTCTACAATCCTCCTTCCGGGTCACTGAGCTCCACGAGAACTACTGGAAAGCCCAACAGAATAAATCAACCAAATCTTGTGAACTGCCAAAACGGCCAGCATGTCGAAACAACGATGGAGATGCTATTCCGTGCACGAGTACAACCAGTAAGAGCCCTACCGTGGAATCCGCAAACTGAATTCATTTCTGCACTGGAGAGCGAGCAAACACCTCGCCTGGCGCTCTTGCATGTTAATGCGTGGCTGCGTTTAAGAATGCCCAAGGCACTCTCGCCTGTCACTTAAATACTGTCTAGTCGGAGGCTATCACCTCGGGTGTCTGTCTGCAAATGGTATACAATGCTTGCACACCTACGTATTCTTGTCAAAGGAAAGAATGGCCCACGGATGGTAGTTTTCTTTTTAATGGAAACCACCAGTGTGAGAAAAATTCAGCCTGTTTTGTAAAAAGACCCGGAAATGCTGGATTGATGGTTCCAGCTTTTAACTACTTTTTTGCTCTTTCTAAAGCAGCATTGCGTAGTAACATGGCATTCCTAATCAGGTTTGCGGAGGGAAGACTCTCAACTTTTGCCAGTTCACCGCTGATATGTCAAGTGAAGGGCATTCCTTGACAAAGCAATCTTGTATCCTGATCTGCACCGACTGAAAGACAAGATGCTTCAGAACAATCCACGGAAAGGGGAGAGCCTCAAGCAGCGATCCGCCTTCTCCACTTATCCAGCCAGGACGCCTCGTAGGCCACACACGCCTCCCAGGGTTTTCCCGCCTCAGCTGCCTCTTCAGAAAAGCCTCCTTGCATAACGCACCTTGCGTGCTGGCAGTTCCCCTCCCAGAAATATGCCTAAGCGCATTAATGGCGAGAATGGAGTCATTCATTCAAAAGATCAATGAACGTACAGTAGACTCACCAAGGGCCCATGCCACCAGATCAAGAGAATTCATATCAACTGAGCGGCTCTCTTGTTTAACGCGCAGGACAGAGATCAGACCATCTCACTTGGGAGGAAAAGCCACGCATGGAGATATCGCCAAGGGAGGACCTAGCCACTTGGGAGTTTGAACTAAGGCCTCAGGCTGCCGGGAAAGATCGGATCCATTTCTGCATTTTGCTTAAACGGCTGCGAGAGGCTGTGGCAGGGACACGGCCGGGTGCCTTGTTACATCGGCGCATCCCGAGTCCCGCGAGCAACAGGGACGTCCCTCCCTTTCACCCAGGGGTGCCAACTTGAATAAAATACTGGGGGGTGGGGACAGGTAAGCCCCGTCCGGCATAATCAATCACAAGACGCTCCGTTTGAATGTGCACCGTTTGAATGGCAATGTTCATCAGCTTCGGGGCGGGCCCCTCAACTATTTAATTGGGGGCGGAGAAGATACCTCGGCCCCTAGGAGTTGGCTCCTATGCTCCCGTCAAAGCCACGCTTTTTCGGGAGGGGGCCGCAACCCCCCCCCCCTTCTCAGCTTTAAGCGGACCTCAGTCGCAGGGAGCGCGAGAGAGCCCTTTGCAGCTGGGAGGAGGAGGAGGAAGGCTTCCCGCCACGAGGCTGCTTCTTCTTAAGGGGCCAGACGGGAACTACCAGCGGCTCCCGGAGCAGGCAACCGAGTCTGCGCCTAGAGAGCCCCGCCGGCAGCCAAGCCCCGCCCCTTCGGTTGCCTGGCAGCGGCCGCCGCTGCCCCCTGGAGGCGGCTCCTTTCGGCTTCACCCGCCAGGGATGCAAATGGCGGCCTCGCTCGGAAGCCCCGAGGGCCGAGGCGCTCGCTCGCTTGAAAGGGGAGAGCGCCGGCCGGGAAAGCCTCGCGGGCGCCCGAAGCTCGCCTGCCGCGCTGCCCAGGCCGAACCTGCTGCTGGCGGAGGCCCCGGGCGAGCCGGCCCTGGAGCGGTTGGAAGGGGAGGCCGCAGCGCGCCGCGCTCACCTCCTGAGGCCTTCGCGGAGGCCGCCCGAGAGCGGGGTGGTTCCGAGGAGCCTGGCGGCGAGACTGTGGGCGGGGCCGCCGAGTGAGGCTCTGAGGAAAGGAGCCTTTGTGCGAGGCGGCGCTCGGGCTCCCTCTGGCGGCCTCTGCCGGCCGCGCCCGGAACTGCGCCGCTTGGCTCGCCCGCTGCCTGCCACGCCGAGGCGGGTGTGTGCGCCAGAGAGATAATCCCCCGCCACTGTGCAGCTGTCACACATGCCAACTGTCCTTGTCAAGGGAGGACAGCCCCGCTTACGCGCTCGCTTTGCAAGCGCAGCCCGCTCGTCTCCACGGAGCTGTCCCTTTAGCAAGCAAATCGCGCGGCGGGTTTCCATGGAGGTGGAAGGGAAGGGAGGCTGCGGTGTGACCCCCCCTCCTCCTGCCACTCACGTTGCTTCTCTCTCCCTCCCCCCCCCCCGCCTCCAGCTGTAAATTCTTCTCCTGCTGTGCAGGTTCGGCTCGCTGCTTCGTCCTCAGACCGTAACCGAGTCTCTCAGCTGCGAACTGGGTCAAAAAACTCTGGCACTTCCTCTTGCACAGCTTCGCCTTGAAAGGAAAACCTCGGCTAGTTTCAGTGGAGCCTCTTTTCCAATGTGCTTAGGTTCGCAACCTTACGCTCCAGTGGTAAACACATTAATTTCCTGGCATCCTCTTATGTAAATAGAGATGCTGGAGCTCAAGTTTGTGTTTATCCTGGTTTCTAATCGCAGATGTTTGGCAGGTTGCGGTTACTACCGGGGAAAAAAGCATTTCTGCATGGTTATATTGTTTCTTCAGACGTTCATTGAAAACAGATTTTCCGGGCTGACGGGGACTTGCTTCCACAAAGCTCTCTTAGCCAGAATGTCAGGCGCATCACTGTAATTATTGTTCAGTGGCGAAGAAAAAAAGCACTCTGCACCTGCTCAAACACATTCCATTCTCTGTCGGTTCATAAATTCCAGAAAATCCTAAAAACAGATTCCTGGGTGCAGCAGAGGAGCAAGTTTATTATAACTTCTGCCTATTATATTTAAGAATCCGGATGCTAAATTAATCGCTTGTAGATTAAAGCCGGGGAATGGTGCGATTTTATGCATCTTTACTTGCGACTTTATTTCAAGTAAATGTGCATGGAATCGCAGGCCTAGGGTAGGACGGCACCTCAGTGATACCTCTGCTGGAAGAACAAATCCGTCTGGGGTTTGAAGTTGCCCTACAGCTGGCGGAAGTTGGGGACTGAAAAATGAAGATAACCTTTAACTCTCGGTTCTTAAGCAACATCGTTAAAAGCATGTTCTGTTGAATAAGAAAGAGCGCAGTTCCAAGAGTAGAACCTAAAAAGTTTCCCTTATTTCAGTTACAGTTTGCTCCCGAGCAATATGGAGGAACAGAATGTGGTTGACATACAGGCCTTGAATCGTTTCCTGGCGGACTAGAGCGTTTTAGAGGGGATTACCCTAGTACCAGCAAATGCTCTTGGGAAACAATTTTTAGGATTCCGGATTTACAGACTAGCGAGAATTAGAGAAACCGCTTTGGATTTACGAGGGGCATGTTAAAACCCACCAGCCTTTGGGTTTCTGGTGCTGCAGACTAACAAAGCTCAGCAGAATCCCTCTTTTTGCATGTTTCCGAGTGGCAGCTGAGAAAACTCTGTGGCACATTCAAGCTTGGGATGCAAGAGCCTTACTGAATAAATAAGTCCTCCTTTACTGACCAGTGTACTGGTATTGCCAATCGCGACCTCCTTCGCGACTTCCGAAGGGCACATTCTTGCAAACCTAAAGCCTGAAATTGTGAACACGGAGCTAGAGCGTGGTGGCTATTCTGAATTAGTGAACTTGAAGTACATTGTGCTGTCGTAAAAATGGATAAGCTTTCCCCCTCTTTTTCCAGTTTCTCGGGGTGGCTGTAAGGGGAATATGGTGCAGCTGATCACAGAATGAGTGCGGTTTGCTCTTGCTTGAAGCAAGCAGGTCTGACCTGATAGATGCACCCAACGGTGCAGTCGGAAGGAATGCCTTCCAGTTCCAGCGCAAGCCTATACGTGTCTTGCCATTTACTTCCAGGTAAGTGTGCATGCAGCTGCAGCCATGGGCGTAGCCAGGGTTTTGGGGGGGGGCAGAACCTCAGTTAGCTATGTATTTTTTATTGATTTAGGGGTGGCAGCTGCCCCTTCCTGCCCCTCTTGGCTTACTGCGGATGACCCAGCCCAGGCTCCGCATCCTGCTAAACCGGTCTAGTTGCCCACCAGCCTCTACCTAACTTGGGGGGAGCGACGCCCTCGTAGCCTCTTTTCTGGGGCTTCAGCGGCTCGGTTCTCAGCTGCCGCCGCTGTCGAGCGCTGAAACCTCCTACTCTGGGGCTGCTGAGCACGTGACCCGCCCCACCCCACCCCCGTCCCCGGATCTCCAGCAAAAGCAGCTGCAGGGTTCTGAGCGCAAACAAGCCGTCCCGAGGGCGGCCCCGGCCTGCCTGCCTGCTTCTGCTTCTGCTTCTGCTTCTGCCGCGGCCGCCAAACTCATGCTCAGCCCTGCAGATCAGAGTCTGCTTATTACTGGGGAAGGAGGAAGGGGAAGGCAGAGGACTGGAAGGCAGAGTGGAAGCTCGTCCTCCAGAGAGGAAGGCTTTGGCTCCGCGCCTTCCTTGCTTCCCGAGAACCTCGAATAGGAGGAGGAGGAGCGCGATTCTCCTTCTCCGTGTATTCTCTCCTTCGCTTGCTCGCTTCTCCCAACCGACATTCGGCTGAAGCATGCAGAGATCTACCACACGGCCATACTGGTTTATAATGGGATGAGATGGGGGAGGGCGGAACGTCCGCCGTGGGTAATTGCAGCAGAAAATAATAGAGACCACCACCAGAGCATAGGGTCGATAATGAAAGGAGGATTCAAAAGTCTCCGGGAGGCTTCTCATCCGTCTCTCAAGGCCATCGTCCTATTACTATACAGCTGCCAGGGGTGCCAACTTAAGTAAAATATTGGGGGAGGGCAGGTAAGCTTTGCCCCACATAATCAATCACAAGACGCGGTGTACGCACACCTTTTGAACGGCAATGCCCATCCACTTTAGGGGGGCGGCTGCTTCAAATATTTTATTTGAAACCCCTCGGCCCCTAGGAGTTTGCTCCTATGATACACTTACTTGTGAGCAGGGCGGGCACAAGACATTTTGGCACCTGAGGCGAACCACAAAAGGGAGCCCCCCTCCCCTAGAGTGGACAGTGGGATCGGAAAAAGCTTGCAATTACCAGTTAGGCTTAGGATTTAAATAAGCAATGTGATGAAGTAACGTGTTTCATGCTGAATTGGGAAGAAAGAATGATGTTAAGTGATTAAGTTAAGTTCATAAGAATTTTGATTTGGAAAACCGTTAAAATGATGTGCATTGAAATTCAACCAGGGGGATACGAGGAAGTCACTTGACAATGTTAATAAGATTAGTTTTAATAAGGTTTGATTTCTGTTTGTTGGTTTATTTGTTAGTGTGTTTATAATTTTGTGAAAATCAATTAAAAATAGGGCAAAAAATAGAGTGGACAGTGGAGATCTACATCGGGAACAAGGGGAGGAATCAAATCAACCTTACCAGATGGTTGAAGTGGGAACCAAAGGTCCACGGTGGAGAGAACAACCCCTGCTCTGAATCACTCCAGATGGAAGCAGAGCTCAGGAGACCCCCCCAAAGGGCAGCACCCACCATTCGGGGGGAGAGATAATCCGTGCTTCATATTTGCTGAGAGATCAGTCCGACCTCCAAGGACCCCACTTAGGCAGCAGCAGGCCATGTATCCTTGGAGCATAGGAGTCAACTCCTAGGAGGTGAGGTCCCTTCAGCCCCACCCCCCCAATAAAATATGTGGGGGGGACTGGGCTCCCCCAAAGTTGATGTGCATTGCCTCTGGCACTAACTCCAGGGAGCCCAGGCACACACATTTTTTTTTCTATGGGCGCCTGGCCTCCACCCCTGCCACCGCGACCCACTGCTGCCACTGCACACGGCCACACCTCGCCATGCACTGCTCTCTGCCACCGCCTGCCAGTTAGTGTATCTTTAATGCCAATCCAACACTGGTCATGATCCTGCCAAAGTTAAGCATGATCCCCAGCATATCTGTGGATTTGTGGTTGAAGATGGGATTCAGCACATCCATGGCATTGAATATTTGCATTGCGCTTTAATTGTAATTTTATTCATTTTTCTATTTCTTACATTGTATTTTATTGTATTACAATTTGAATTGTATGGAACTACAAAGGCAGCAAAAGTGGTCAGCAATTTTTCACTGGCCCATTGGGGAAAAGTTTGGGAATCACTGCTTTAGAACCCTTGCTGCATTTGTTGTCTAAGCGCCCTTTAAAAAAAAATGTAGATATTGGTTGCTCCTGGGCCAGCTGCTCCTGTATTTGATAGATAGGACTTAAAATATGCTTTATAATAAGATTGCTTGACTAGATCTCTGGCTGAAAGATTAGAGGAAAACTGGCAATGCCACTGAAGAGCTCCAAGATTAACAAACCATCAGCATTGTTTCTATTAAAAACCATTATAGTTAAGATTGTCTCCACCAGTCTTTCTATAGTCCTGATCCCATGAAGAGAGATCTGCCCAGGCAAGGTGCAAGAATAATCTCTGTTATTGTATGTCCTGGGCTCAGCCAAACACCTACCACATGCTCACTCAACACTGAATGGAAGACTCATCACCAGGTAATAGGGCAGCTATTTCATTTCCTTTATCGCTGCTGGCTGGATCCCTTTCTCGCTGACTTTAAGGCCTTCACTATTTTTAATGTTTTGTGTTAAATATTAAAGAGATGTGTGGGTACATGTGCAGTCTAGTTCAAGAAGACATGGAAACTTTCTGATGTTGAATGTGGAGTTGAGAAGATAATGATAACAGAAGCCAAAGTTTTGTCTGATGCTCCAGACATTCATAATTTATCTTCATTTGGTAGTGGTCTAGTATCAAAATGTTTTTTGTATCTGAAAGATTTCAGATGGATTGCATTTATGTTATTTTACACAACAAGCCTTTCTGCTTGTTTGTTTTGCAGAGGCGTCTGCTGAGTCAGCTAAGATGGACAAGTTGTGACTGTCTAACTAATACTGAGAAGCAACAGTAGGCTCTCCTCTGGGAAATTCACACTTCTGTTGTTTGCAGGCAAAATCTAATATTTAATGCAAAGGTCCTACCTTGGAAGTATTATTCCACAGCTCACCCTTGCCCTATGAGCCTAAGGAAAGTTTTACAAGCAAAGACTTGCACTGATGAGTTGTAGCAATTTCCTTTGCTAGTTTTGCTATGTATAAAATATCTCTGTTGTTTAAACAATGTTTTCCCTCCATCTACTCAGCCATCTGCTGTTCCCATTCAATCCTTCAATGGCAAAATGTTGCATATTATATCACATACATTTCCAAGGCAACAGTGTGATGGCATAAATACTGTATGATGATTTCATGCAGCTGAGTTAGGAAGAGGGACAACCTTTCACGGAAGCAAACATTTGGAACAAGTATGCTCAAGCAATGGCTTTCAAATGGGTTTCTCCCCATTATTTTTCCTTCACATTTATCCAACATTCACTTTAAAGGGTGAATTCCTCTCAATATGAATTCTTACATATATAAAAAAAGGTGTCTCTGTGTATATATTATTAGTATCCCATCCTAACTATGAACATAATCCAGGCAAAGTTAAGTTGTTTCACTTCAAGAGCTAAGCATATGCAGGACTGTGGATTCAGCACTATGTTTGCTTCATGACTCTTCACATCCTACTTGATTAAGAGTCAGTGTGATGTACTGAACGGAGTGCTGGATTTGGACCAGAGACCTCAGGCCATGCCCTTGCTTGGTCACGAAATCCCTGCAGTTGCCTTGTACGAGTTACTATCCTTCAGCATCCTGTCTACCTCAGAGGATAATC